ATAGATTGATTAGATACCCTCCTATCTGAACATGTCTTGTTGCATGAATAAAGAACCAATTTTCTGGATCAAAATCTATTTCAAAAAATTTTTCACGATGAGTAGGTTTTTGTTTTGTCATTTTCCTGGCTTCTGGAAATCATTAATAACATAAACTACATAGATTTATCTGAGTTATTTTAAGAAATCCTGTTGTTTTCTGCAGAATGTAAACGTCTTAGGCCAAAATATTAAAGTAAAGTTACATGCTATAAAATGGCGAATTTGTCATTATCCTGGCTGTCATTTTCCTGGCTTATGAATTCCAGGACATTGAAGTGTTAACAGAGTTTTTTTTAACTGCTAATACTGTAAAAAGGAAAAGCAAATATTAACCTAATACCAAGTTTATGTATAATTGTAATATGGTTGGATGTAATCAAAGTTATTTATTTATCTAATGATTGATTATTATACACAATTTTATTCTGTACATATCAGCAACAAAAAAATTTTATTCTTTCTACAGTGGATAAAAAGAATAAATCTAAGCAATTTATGGTCCATCTAACATAAGGGCTTAAGTTGAGTTACTTACAATTAACTTAAAATGACTGTTTTTTAAACTTCTAAGCTAATATGTCATTTTCCTTGCATTCAAGATTTGGTGAATTTCTATTTTATTTTTTTTTCTCGAGCAACTGTCAATAAACTACACTGCTGTCTGTAAGATATTAATAAATGTAACTAAGGAAGTATACAAAAAAAATTTAGATTATTTTGAAGACTTTAAATTTGAAGAAAATTTTTGGTCCGAATTGTCATGTTTAAAAAGAATCACCCATATATCTATGTAAATATGTATGCTTATTTCTAAACAAATTATGTGTTCATATATTATTTTATGTTTACTGCATATTCTGTTTAAAGATAGAATTATCTAAAGAATAAAATATCACTTAACCTAGTAAAAGATTAATACAAAAATTATTTCTTTGTTAAAATTTATTACACCTATTAGTAATTTATTACAGTTATTAGTAAATCTTAAGTAAAATACTGGGAGGCTATCAAAATATGAAAGAGAAGAAAAGTAAACTTAGCTATAACATGCATATTTAAAATGTTTATGATTTTGAGCTCAAATATAAAGAAAAAATACATTTAAATTTGCTTACCACTTCATTTTTTTTTAATTGTATAAAATGAATATTTAATTTGAAAATAGGAGAAAGATCAGGAATTCATGAATAAAACCATACATTTAAACATTCTCAAGTTATTTATAAAAATTAGCATTTATAATTTTCTAAGTGCACAAAGTAATGACAATCAATAAATGTGCACCTATCTACACAATATTTTCCTACTAACACTACATATGCTACTTTTGCTTCTTTTTTTTTCATGATATTCAAATCAATTATTAAGAAAGCTTAGAAGTTGTTTACTATTTTATCAATATGTTTTTTAAATTTTATGTAATTAATCTTGATTTACAAATAAAATTCTTAGATTTACTTTATAAATTATAATTAACTTATTATACTATTAAGTATGTAAAAATAATGTCTGTATTAAATATATCTATTGATAAATAACTTCACTATACAACGTTCATTCTTAACACTTGATTGCTCAAGGAAGTGATTTTGACATCTTTTTAATTGCAAAAAATGTACAAGTAATAATGCATAAATTTATTTTTTTTCCAAGTGAAGTAAATTTTTTATTTTTAATATTTACTAATAACATGTTATATATCTGTGAATAATATAAAAAATATTAAAATTAATTGAACAAATTTATTTACACATTAATTTTTCTTTCATAATGCAGTCGTTTTGACTGCTTTTGGACAATATAGGTATAGACTAAGTTTCAGTCTTTCTAGTGTTAACACTATTTGGTCACTAAAATTAGTATGCTATTTGTATTTATGAATACAATGTGTGATTTGTAGTCTAATACAATAACAAGAAAGTTTCTTCCACTTTTGTTGGAAAACCTATTTCTTCCAGAAAAATTTTTCCATTGTGGAAGAAACTTGCGTTTTTTGCTAAAATGTTACTTTCGACCCCTTGTAACCAAACCTATACTATATACAAGTAAATTTCGATTTAAATGCTTAACACATTTAATATTTTTGTAGCTACATATATATGTATATATATACAGCTTACGCTTTTTAGTATGACCCCTTTCATTGTAACAACTTATGATGTATAAGGTATTGTTTACTATTCCATAGACACAATGTTAATGTTCATTAGACTGTCCACACTAAACCTGTCATTCCAATAATGCCGACCAAAATTTAGTCCTTTGATTTTAAGAAAAGTTTCAAAGAAATTATTTAAACTATAATTTCTTTTGATATTGCTACAGAATCTAAACTTCTTGTAATCCCTTTGAATATAGGAAAAATGACCTCCTAAATTTTTATTTGAAATCCTAGATGGTCGTAATTTATAGTCGTTCATTACTTGTGTAACTTTCTTTTCAAAGAATACAATAAATTTATCGATCATACTTTTTTGTATAAAAGTTGTATTCTTTTTTTTTGTGAAATGCCAGTCTTCTTGTGTGGATTATTTTCTAGTTAACAGATGTGGTTTTCACAGTTATCTTGATGTATGTTATTTATCGAAAATGGCAGGTCTGAACCAGCATATTATTAATAATGCATTTTTCCTATGAAGTAAAATATTTTAAATGGCACTTTTTACGCACATATTAATGTAGAAAAAAAGGTTGTATTATTACCAACCTTTTTGTTAATTTCCCAATTCTTATTAAAGCAATATTTTCTTATAATTGGTCAAGTACTTTTAGAACTATCACAAAGGTCGCCATAGGGATCCTCGACTGTATATGTGCAGTGGAAGCCCGATTTTACATTGTCCGCTTCGTATGTTATCCCACTTCCTACATCATTTTCTGCTAGTACGTGAATATTACCTATACCGATTATGTCAAATTATCCCGAATTTTACATTACACTTTTTAAGAAAATCAAACTTTATGCATATTTTAACATCAAAATCATTTTTCCCTGAAAAGTTCACACAAACTTTTCCTTTTGTTTTTTTTTCTTTTTTAAAAAAGGAGAGATTTGCTTAAAGCTGTTCTGACATTCTTTCTATTCTATCTTATTGTCCTTTTGAGTATGAGAGGAGATTTTACCCTTCAGTCAGTGGTGGGATGGGCAATGCCCAAGAAAGGAAATATGAGAGCTGTTGTAAAATTTGCAGGTTGAATTTTTTCCAACAAATTTCAACCCTTGAATCTTGGAATAATTCAGTCATTTAAAGAATGCTACACAAAGCAACTGGTTAGATAATGTTTTTTTTTTCGATTCCAGAAATAAACAAAATGCTTCAAAATTAAAAATAGATGTTCTGGAATTTGATTTCTGCAGTGTTGGACAGTGTCAACTGGAATGCTTCATAAATGAGTTAAATAAAGCAGGCTTCTCGGTATTCTACGGGAACAGTGGCCCTTCGGAATAAAATTGCATGGCTGAAGATCTTCCAAAATCGATGGCTCAAATATCAACACACATCTCATTACTTTACAATTTCTTTAATATCTGATTTAATTCCTGCTCCCGACGATAGTGATGATGTTGAGTAAAAAATGATTGAGGATATACCCACAACTGATCAGGAATTTCAAAGCATCAAAATTTGAAACAATATTTGCGAATGTAAACCAAAAAGCAAATTTTCAAATTATTTAAGTATTGAGAGGGATATTGTTGAAATTGTATCTAAAAACAAATAAAGTTTACACAATTTTTAAAAAATATGCTTATATTTTTTACCCCGATTTTACATGTTATTGCTTCGTGCAATTTTTAATGCTAGTCCTACAGAAAATGCAAAATTGGGATTCGACTGTATATACTCTGTAAGTCTTTATATTTTCATAGCTCATCAGAAAAATTTTGTACTTTATTATGAACATTATAAAATGGAAATATATTTAAACCAAATAAGAATTAATAATTAGTATGACTCCTTATCCTTCATATATATGTGAAATATAGTGCATTTTTTCGTATAATAGACCCCCTAGGTAAACGAAGCTTAAAACAATCTAATAAACAGTCTAAATCTAAGAAGCAAAAAATAGATAAACATTATTTTTCGGGCAATAATGTTTTAGTATTAGAATGATATCTAATCAATCAAAAACAAAATATTAGAAAAAAAATAATTATTGCTTAAAATATAGAAAACTAAAAAGAATTGGACAGTTATGAAAATATTAATTGCTCTCTCAGCCATTTTGAACTAGAACGATTCAAGCAAGAAGCGGGAATTCCTATCATTCATTAAGGTGGGTGAGTGGAGGAGAAAAACTCATTTCTTCTTATTTGTATAGAGAAAATATGTATTAAGAGGAGTTCATTCAAGTTGACAGCAGGGAAGTGACAAATTCTTATTTTCTCTCCGATCATTGGCTATCAATCAAGCGTAAAGGAGCGGTATGCTGATCGGGTTTTCTTAAATTTTTTCTTGTGTTAATGGAATAAAGGGACTTTCGTTTGTCAAATTGAAATTCATATTTCAGTAGAAGGGAGTCTTGAAATCTTTTTCATGTCAATGCTGAAGAAAGAATGTTACCCTATTTTTCCTCCGCCTCCTAAATATTAAATAATCAGGGGAAGAACGAATGCTTCTCAAGGACGTGTATTCCTTTAGACCTATTCAAATTTTCCATTTCGACTCCCCCTCCACATTTACCCGCCACGTTTACCCTTTTCCACAGTATTTCTTTCCCTAACACTCTAATAAAAAGGTCTCAGGAAATGCCTCTTTTACTAGCTAGCTGCATAGGAAGTAAGGGGAGAGGAGACTCAGTTGCGCTCTTTTGAAAACAAATCTCCCTCTTTTCCTGCATTCCAGAGGAGGAGCGTCACTAACGGTCTCTCGACGGTCTTGGTAGATCTTCTCTTCCCCTTTCTGGTGATTTATGAGTTCAATGCATAAATCATTAGAAACTAGAAAAGGAGAAAACGTGTCCAAAAACCTCCTTTTTTTTCTTTATAAGAGAGGGGAAGATGAAGAGATGTTTGTTTATTTTAATTGTTAAAAAGTGTCTGGGAAATCGACCCTTCCAGATATGGGACGTTATACTGTATGGAATTGTATAAGAAATTTGCAGTTAAATCCTGTTTTCGAGAATCCCCTGATGAAGGAGTGAATAAAAACAAAGTTCGAATTGTGAGAGATGCGAGAAGGTGTAAAATTTTTCTAAGCTACATTTTTCAACGTCAGATTCTCCCGGCCCCCTGCTGGTCTTCATAAATTCAGAATATCTTACAAATAATATTAACTTTTACTCATTGGCGCAGTATGTCCTCGCTTGGACCTTGTACCGCTAAACCCTACACTCACTCAATCAACTTTTGCTCATAATTTCAGTTCCCACTCAATTTTGCAATGTTTGTTTGAATTTTAAATTTGTTTGTAGCGTAAGCTTGATTATTACATCAGGATATTATTATCTTTAATACTTAACTATTCATTCTTTTCATATTATTAATAAGTATGACTAATTTATTATTGTTTATGTTTAATTTTGTGCAGGTAATTGTTACTTCTAATAGATAAAATTTTGCTCTCCAGATACTGCTAATTATAAATCACATATTTGCTATCAAGTGCTTTAAAAATTCTAGTTTGCATTAAAGTAATTTACAAGTCACTCATTGTGATTCACATTAAGGTGATTTATAAATCAAAAATTACATATCAGTAATTGAAAACAATTGTTTTGAATGTATGGAATCGTTTCATGTGCAAGACAAACAATTTAAACAAAGTATGCATGCATGAACGATGGAAGTGAAAATATGTATGAATCATATACATTTAGTTTGTTAAGTTTCAAATATATATATACTTTTAGACATAATAAGGCTATGTTTTACCAGATTTCTAGATCTATATGGCAAATGGATCTAAAACCAACAAATGTGGTACTTTCAGAATAACAGAACTTTAAAAACAAAATTAAACATTGATGACAATTGTCTCTATAACCATAGAAAACTAAACAAAATCATTTTTTATGTGTCATAGATACTGATATATCACTAAACCTTATTATTTTTTTTCTGATCTTGGAAGTCCTTAAAAATAATTGCTTTTTCGTTTTAGGTGCAGTAAAACTAGAGGATTTAGTGAAATTGTTAAAACCAGATATGTTGAGTTCTTTAAAAAATCAAAATGGAGGTTTTCAAACTCTACTTAGAAATCATCGCAATGTTTTTGAAAGTATGTTTTTATGTGCATATTGTTGATTCTTTATTCAGAATTTCTTATCAAGTAACTTGCTGCAGAACTTCTTATGTTGCAAGTAACTTGTAATAATTTAAGTATGTTAGTTTACTATTTTTAACCATATTATACAATTTTTAGCTTAACTATACTCTTATTATAAGATACTATTTTTAAAAGTAACACATCTTTTTTTTTTCATGATTTATATATATTGCAGATATTTCTTTTTTTTTTTTTTTTTTTTTTTTTTTTTTTTTTTTTTTTTTTTTTTTTTTTTTNTTTTTTTTTTTTTTTTTTTTTTTGGCATGCTAAACTTAATTTTCCTTATTTTTATTATTTTGCATCTATGTACAAAATTTTCCATAAAGACAGCCCTTTATGTATTTTTAGAATCCTTATCAAAAAGGAAAATAAAAAAGCATCCATATTGGAGGTCACAAATTAATATTTAAGCATGAAAAAACACTTTCGAAATCTGACATCATATTACAGGAAGATGAAAGTATTAAAAATGAGACATGTTAAAAAAAATAAGAATGAAAAACGAATATAAGAAACACATTAAAGTTTCAACATTCAATTAAACCTGTTATGATGTTTATTACATTAGCATTCCTATACTGTAAATTGTCAGATTTCGATATTATTTGTTTTTTACTTTCTTAATTGTCAATTTGTGACTAGCAGTGTGTATATTTTTTTCATTCTTCATTGGGACTCTAAAAATATGTATGGTAGGGCTTTTTGTAAAAATTTTCCCTTAGTATCTGTCGGAATGAAAGGGTTAAGAAAAAATAGGTGATTTTTTTCTTACTGATTTAATGTAAAAAAATTATTCATATTATATATTTATTTGCTGTCACTTTATTTTTAATTAATTGTTTTGCTTTTTCTAGTTAAAAACTGTTGTGTTCAACTTAGAGTACCTGAAAAATATCAAACTCTCAAGTTTTCACAGCAAAAGCCTGACTTCAAACAAAAGAAAAATAAGGATGTTTTCAAATCCAAAAATTGCTTTTTCCATTTTTACCATCCTCAAGGGTGTCCTTTATCATCAAAAGATTGTTCTTTTTCTCATGAAAAGATTGATTAAACAAAAAAAATCTATTTACTATTGATTTTTTTTTTTTTTTTAAGTAATGAGAACCTTTGCTCAAACCTATAAATTTCCCTCTTTTCAGCTACAGTTATTTAAATACAGTTATAACTGTTATTTAACTTCAGCCTATTAACATTATATACTTAAAAAGTGCCTTATTATTGCCATCAGAATTGTACTAGAGCTTTCAAAAACTAAAACGCTTATGTGTGTAAATGATAATACACAATAGTTCTAATATATTTTGTTTATAATCCAATCATTCGATATATAATTATTTTGATATATTGTGCCAAGTGATGATAATTCACTATAATATAGCCATTATATATATTTTATATAATAAATCATTCACTATATTTCTCTAATATGTTTTGTTTTTAATCTTTACTATATATTTATTTTAAAATGTGATGTGATTATTGACTATAATGCAGAGAGTCCAACTAATTCAGATATTCCATAGTTTCTATTCAATTTCACCTTTTACTGCCGACTACAGAAATTATAACCTATTTTACAAAAAAGTTTTATTTTAAACGTTTTCACTGATTTTTTTTAACAATTTATGACAGAAATGATGCAACGTTCTAGCATTTTAAAAATGAAAAATACTTAAAAACGTTTATGATGTTTTCATATTTGCTCTTTACTGGTGAACTAAAATAAATATGATAAATAAAAATGCACTTTCAAAGAAACTTCTGTCGTATGATAATCAGTATAATCGCTAACTTATGAAATTAAAATAAGTTGTGCAAGCACATTCCTTCCTTCTTCCATCATTTTTCTTTCCATGTAGTTTCTTTCTTTTTTCACTAAGGCTTTGAAAGTAGAATGGAACACAGTTTACACCAAATAAAGACTGAACACTTGTCCTCTTTTACAATTGCCAATTGTGAATATTCTTTTTTTCAGGGGAGAGAAACTCAAAATGTGTTATGTTTACTTTCTTTTCTTTATTTTTATAACTGGACTGGATTGATGTTTTCAATATTTTCTATGCATCTTTTTGAAAATTGCTTTTTTTTTTTCTTTAAAAATTAAAAGAGATTATTTAAGTCATTTGAAATATGATTAAAGATTATCAAGAAATATTAAAATTATTACTTTTTCTTTCATTCTTTTTTTTTTTTTTTTTTTTTTTTTTTTTTTTTTTTTTTTTTTTTTTTGCTTTGACATTGAATTTATTGAAATTCTAAATATTTTTTAATCTGCATCTTAATATTACCATCCCCCTTTATAATTGTTTTAGAGCATGATTTTTTTTTCCTTAATGGCTAACTTAATGTATGAACTAAAAATTTTCTGTTCCATTTAATAAAATGTTGTTCATGTATAAAATATATTTGTAGTTTGTTCTCTCTTTCATTTTAATATTTTTGTAATTGTAAATATGTAAGTTTTTTAAATGAAATTTTTCTCTCTATGATTTATGTCTTTAAAATGTTTAAATGAATTTCTCAAACTAAATTTTCTGTTCAATATTTAATAGTGTTTTTTTAATGTAAATGCTAACTTATTGTAACAAAAATAATTTAAAGGTTGAAATTGGAATTTGTAAAAATTATACAGAAGTTTTTTACCAGTTTAAAAAATTATTTATCTGTATATTATGTTATAATTAATGCATTATATAATACATCAGAGTTCGATAGACCATTTACAGCAAAAAAATAATTCCCAGCAAACTGTAAGAATCTGATATTACCCCTATGTAATTTTAGCATAATGAAATCCTAACTCAGTTCAAATATTTTCATATATTTTCATAATATTTTCAAATATTTTCATATTTTTACAAATTTTCAGAAATCATGGCAATCTCAATAAAAAATCAAATCTTTGAATCAAAAGTTACTTTAGCTAACTTTAATCGGACTCTGATCACTTGTTTAGACTACCTATTTGCTCATGAGTTTCTTTTTCCTGTCAATTTCAATCAATTCAAATTAAATTTTCTTTTAGAAGAGAATGAAGAATTGTTTGTACATAGTTCTTACAATGAATTTTTCACCCTATGACATGATTTACTGGGTGCCACTCTGTTTCTTGAAAGCTTTCTGACTTTTTCATGGTCTTAAGTAACTCTTGTTATTTACTACATTATAAATATTTAATTTATGCATTTATCTGACATATATTTATAATTTATTGTTATTTCAACAATAGCATTTTACCAACATAGTAATATATCTTTCTATAAATTATGTATTTTTGTATTTCAATTTCTAAGAAAGATTTTTAACTTCAAAACTGTAATACTTTTATTCAAAATGATATAAAGAATGTTCTTGAATTCTCTGAAGTAGCATTATTTAATTTACAGCAAATCTCCTCTGAAAGATAATATTGTTAGAATATTTCAATGTGCAGGATAAGATTAAAAAAAAAAAAAGATTTCATAACATTTCATTTGGATTCATGCAACAGTTAGGTTAATTTTTAAGAACAAGTGGTGTACAAGACTCAATCTTAATGATTTGAGGGGGTGACCTCAAATATGTTAATCAAGTAGTGCAAACAATATTTTAAGTCTAAAAACCATTTCGCAACATCATGAAATACACCGACATTGGGTGCCATTATATGTGGATATTTATGGCAACGAAATAGCAGGAAAACTCACCAAAGACGGTTGCTGTCAACAGACTTCTAATACCACCAAACTATCATTTATGGAACTTTATTTCATCAAAAAATCTGCTGTTATAAAAGACTAGCTACTACCCCACTGACAACTGGTACATGGCGATTGAACCAGGATTCTCTTTCCCTTTTGGGTGACAGATCTACCCAAACTTGCCTATTGCGCCTCAGCGTTCACCTGAAATGTCTAAAATTTTCTGGTGGAGTGTAGTGAAAACCTGTCCCTTCATCAGGTCACTCCCAAACATATCTTGGACTCAGCTAAGAAAAAAATCTACTCGTCTTCTCTGTTTATTATCCACATGCTTTCAACAGTTTATTTGACCTGGTCTGATGATAAGAAGATATTTTAAGTTACAAAATCAGATGCATAAACATACCTTTTCTGAATAAACACACCTTTTTTAACAGATTCAGATTCCTGACCCCTAAAATATTGGGGTAGCCACAATATGGGAAATGTAGTCCCAATAGTTTAGTCTGGAGAGCGGTCAAAAGTTAGAACCACTTAATGTTAATTTTTGTGTATTTCTCCATACCTCAAGAATCTAAGAGAATCAAAAAATTTCACACATTAATTTTTTATATTATAAAAAAAAAACAAATATAAAATTTATTCATTCAAAGATTATTCCATGAAAAAAAAACTAAAGGGGATCACATACAAGCACTTAATTTAAGTAGGACAAACCTCAACTGACTTCTACCTTTGCATGTGTTTTTTGCAAATTTCACCTTCTCAACATTCTTTGCAGCCCCACAATCTATGATCATATTCCTGATTTTTTTTGGTCAAATTTTGGAACTCTCTTGTACGGCGTTTTCAGTACATCAGAAACAATATCTCACTCATATAATCCAAACATCTGTAATCCATTACCTCGGTTCACATATGTGGAGCTTAGCTTCTAAAAGCATGCTTTAAAAAAATTTATAGTTATATCCTCACTGAAATATTTGTGGATGTTAAAGCTTTCTGGGGATTTCAATAGATACAGAGCATGTAAGTTATTCAAGTAGAATTTCAGAAGTTATTTTCGAAAAATGACGCTGAATCCACATGCTCAAAAACTTAAGTAATTTAGAAAATATATATATATTTTTTTGGGACTTAGTAGCTCTGTGATCTGTATGAAGCTTTTACATTTACTTAATATTGAAAAATAATAGTCAAGAATATGCAGGTTCACACATGTGTTCCTAGTTTCGTAAAGTGAAATTTTATATTAAGATGCATGCATATATACTTTTAATAACTTTTTGTTTTTTCATATAATTTTGAAATACTGCACCCAAGAATTTTTTTCTATAATTGTTAGATTCTTTTCAATAATTATTTATTTTGTGTGGTTTGCATAATTAAAATACCTTTGCAGTATTGCATCATACTTAAATAAAACTTCATATTTTTTTCCGCAATAATTATTGTATCTATTCATTATTGTATTTAAATAGACTATAATATAACAATATACATGTTTTGTATATTGTTATATGTAAGTGCAAGTTAACATTTGAAAAATATATGGACTAGAAGATCTAACTAGTATATAAAGTGGAATTTTCAAACTCATTTTTCATGGCATTGGCTAGGGGTTAACACATTTTAATGTATGCTATTATTACACCAAGTTTTCTTCCAAAGTGAATTTTTCAAGTCATAGCCTCTCCTAATAAATAGTTGAGCATGATTTATTAATCAGCTAGTTGAGTACCTTATTTAAAGAAATGTGTTTTTCAAAACGAAATTTTTTTTTTTAAACTTAAAGATATTACATTGTTTATTGTGCTGCATACCACTAATAGTTGTATTTTTACAGTAACCATGTAAATTAACATTACAACAGGGTTCCATATATACATGTATCAAAATAAATTTTAACTCTTATTATAAATGAAATAAACTAAATCCAAGTGAAAAGCATTGAAATTTTATTAAAAAATAAGCTATTTTTGTTACTATCAAAATGTTTTAAGGCCATATACAGTAAACAAACATTTTGTGGTCTAAATATATATCCAAGCAACATAAAATTTATCTAGCAATTCAAAAAGCAAAAACAAAACAGGAATTATATAACAAATTAACATATAAAAACGTAACAAAAGGAATAATAGAATCCAAAAATAATAAGCATTACAAATGAACTAATAATATAGTTAAAAGATTTCACCACTATAAAAACTGAACTTAGCTTCTAATTTGACTGTATACAAGAGACAATCACAGTTAACAATTTTGTTTCTCAAAAATGCAGAAAAAGTAATTTAGTAAATTCCTTATGCTTCAAACAAGATAAAAAACTTAAGTATAAAGTTTTAACGCAAGAAAAACTGGGCCTATGTAGCCCTTCCCATTATTTGTTGTTATTCCAAAAGTAATTAACTTGAAGCCATGTAATTTTCTGACTTTTCACAAGATTCTAATTAGGTGTTAAACTCATACAAGTAAAAATATTGGAACTTATACCTAGAATAATAGTAGTGGCCCGAGCAGCCCCCCCACCTCCGATATTTTGCAATATTACGGAGAGAGCCGTGGTGGTTCAGGGGATAGAACGTTTGCCTTCCAATAAGGCGAACTGGGTTCGAATCCCAGCCATGGCTGGTCGATACGAATTTCGAATCGGACTCGCACTGACCACAGTGCTGACGTAAAATATCCTCAGTGGTAGACGGATGATTGTTAGAGTCCCCTTGCTGTCAGGCTCACTGCGGAAGTTTTTACCTCTCCATGTAACACAAATACGGGTTAGTTCCATCAAAAGGTCCTCTACGAAGGCAAATTTCTCCCAATACACTATCCCTGAGTTCCCTTGTCTTCTGGATTGGATTCAAAATTACAAGGCTACAAAGTTGAACTTCAGTGGTCGAAAACCCAAAATTGGGTCGGCTGTACAAAAACACTTATATAATATTACAAAGAAATTCATTGTTTCTTGCAAAAGCAATAACAAGTTTTAGTAGTACTAAATTATAATAGCACATCTGCTATAATTATGTAAATTTTCTATAGAGTTGACCCAAAAAATGGAACTTAGTCACAGAAATTTTACATTCCATATATGCAAAGAGCTCAGAGGCATGTCATAAAAAGAGCAGCTAAAAATTGGAAACCTGCAGACCTATCTGTAAACAGATATGACATCACTCTAAAAAAAAAAAAAAAATAAGAGCATTAAATTTATGGTCGAAATTTCCTATAAAGAAGTCTTACTTGGAACGTATACCCATATTGCAGCAAATTTGTTGTTAGGAAAACTATAAAGGAATGAAAATAAATCAGATTGGTTTGTGTCATAAATTTTCAGTTTCATTAATTGAATGAGTATTTCAGATTATTTTTTATAATCAATAGCAATTATCAGTTATTAACTGTAGAAACTCAATTATTTGAGCAACAAAAATGTAAAAGAAAAGTTAT